GAAGCAAAATCGAATATGGTACCATTCGTTCGAATATTTGAAGCATTCGAATATTTCTACAAGCCTAATGCTTACAGATGGACTCTGGTTGTGGAGTTTCGCGTTTGACTTGCGGAGCGTCTGCTTGCGTGGTAGTCCAAGTTGTTGCTTCGCCGCACTTGCAACAAACGGCGCGACACACTTTTCAATGTGGCAGCACGCATTGAGCTCGCTGCATATATATATATATATATATATATATATATATATATATATATATATATATAGACACACACACACACACACACACACACACACACACACACACACACACACACACACACACACACACACACACACACACACACACACACACACACACACACACACACACACACACACACACACACACACACACACACACACACACACACACACACACACACACACACACACACATATATATATATATCGTGAAGGTATGGGATATGGCACAACGGGAGCGTTGTCAACAAGGATAAATATATTTATTTCCCAACAGTTTCGGGAGGGGTCCTCCCTTCATCAGGGGATGAGTTATACTGACATGAGCTTCCAAACTTCGTTGCTGCCGCGTCCCTCTCGCCTTGAAAGATGTTTGCGAGAGTGAGAGGGAACTTGAAAAAGGAAAAAACAAAAAAAGGTGGAGAAAAAAGACGAAAAAGAAAAAGAAAGAAAAGAAAGAAAGTAAAAAAGAGGAAGAACCACTGTCAGCACTGAGAACGAAACCAACTGTCCGTCTACATCCACATACGGTTCATATCACGTGCTGTTCAGTTCTTGACGTGTGTCGGGCCACCCAAGATTGTCGCCGCGGTGCCGGGAGGTACGTGACGGCGTGCGTAAAGAAAGGGGTTTCCCCGTAATTGGTCGGTCGGCGTGCGGCGTGCGTAAAGGAAGGGTTTCCGGTTAATGGGTCGGTCGGCTATTTACCTTTAATCTTCGTCCGTTTCCCTTCAATGGTCATCAAGTGGTAGGCGAACGTAAACACTTTGTATGTGCATGTGGAAAAAAGAAAAAAAGGAAGAAAAAAGAAAAAAAAAGTGAAAAAAAGAAAAAAAAAAACAAGAAAGGACAGTGTACACGTACGAGTCAGTCAGAAAAAAGCATGGTCTTCAGCTATCAATATTTGTCACCAATTTCCTCCTGGCTTACTTCTCGGAGGCAGTTGAGTTTTCCGGGGTCCTCGTTGATGCCGGCTACTAATGTACGAAATTTGAAAATAAAATATGCCTCACGCTGTTCGCGCTCGCGTCTGTTTGAGAAACCGGACTGTTACGCTGATATTTTCAAAACTGTGGTTTGGCAGGCGCAGATGTCTAGATAAAGGTAGCTTCGGCAGTGAAGTGGCGTGGTACCGGTCATTATACCTTCCGAAGATACCCATACCTTCACGAAGACTAACTGGCCCATTGAATTATTACTCCCACTATATATATATATATATATATATATATATATATATATATATATATATATATATATATATATATATTTATTTATTTATTTATTTATTCGCGGTGAATGACGGTCGACGCCGACGACAGTGGCAAAATCTAGCCGAGAGTATCCTTACAATCGCTATCGAAATAAAAAAGGGGGGGGGGGGGGGGTGAGAGGAGAATGCAAGGAAATTAGTTGTCCACTCATGCATGAGCTGGCAAAAAGATATAAAAAATCTGGTTCTTCAAACACGTTTTCACTTTTTTCAATGTCGAGAAGCTGCATTCTGCAGCAGCTGTACTGACTGGGAGCATTGCCAATATCTTGAGGAGTGTGAATATTCAGAAAAAGGGCTTTGTTGCATTCAGCTTAAGGGTCTGTCACAAAGCCGGGAAATTCGTCCTCTCGCACAGTTTGGCATTTAGTTTTCCAGATTTCCCATTCATCATTTAGTGTAAAAATATGAGCTGTTGTCACTTCGCTCAGGTAAAGCGCCTGCACACCTGGAGGTCAACACTCTTCTCTCCCGGTTCACCCTGTCAAACTTTTAACCTTGCTACCGGGTCGTCGAGCCATCAGATTGGCGAGAGCTGCCGACAACGGGTGCCTCGGGGTTATCAGACGGCTGGCTATGTAAGCCTAAGACTATATAAGCCGCCTGTTCTGCAAGAATACATTTCCTCATTACAAAGAATGGGTCCAGTGATGAGGGCCTGCTACCAGTTGAGACTGGCCCGACCCGGTCCCTACAAACTAAAGGCAGTGATCGGATTCTCCCACACTGCCCAAGGTTGGAAGTACTCATCTAAGTGTCACTATCAGATTCCACAGACGAATCTGTGAGAAAGATGTGGCCCTTTACCCACAGCTTTCGCTGTGCTACACATGCACGAATGTGCTACACATGCACGCGACGGAGGCATGGAGGGTCAGTCAGTGAGGCGTCAGTGAAGTGTGCTGCCTAAAGAGATAGCGTAGTTTGCTCGACCAGAGGACATGTGTTTGATGATGTAGTGCAGTCAGTCCAACTGTTAAAAGGTATCAATAGATGACACCGTGGGGGCAGGGACAAGTTTTGAAGAGGGTCGCCCAGGAGACACGAGATCTCTTCCTACTGCGAAGGAGAACGAACCGTAAGCGCTGCTGTCTACGTGGAGTGAATCGTCAAGCCGGTGAATATGGTAAGAGCATCGCGTAGACCAGCGTAACAAAGCCCAGATATGAGGTGGAGCTCGTAGTTGAAAATTGATTTGTTTTGATTACAAATGGGACATCTAAATCACTGTTTATTCTTTCTGAAGTCAATGATCGCCGCATTGCTGTTTCTGTAAATATTAAATACATAAAGTTCGAGCAAAGTGCCCTTGCACGGCGCTCAAACCGAACCAACAGATACTTAGGCTATGATAACTTTCGTTGTTTCCCACTGTCAACATCATTGAGAGCATCCAATGAGCGCGGATACGGCAGAACGAAAGCTCGAGAACAAGAAACGTGGCATTACATCGCACAATGTTGGAGCGGCTCATCTATCCCAACACAGCGGTAATGCACTGCTTCTGTCACTCTTTTATTATTATTACTAGACATTCTTAAAAGTTTCAGCCACCACACATGCGAGAAACGTTGCTATTTTCTAACAGAAACATGCAAACAGTGCGATACCACACTTACAATGACACAAATAACATCGGTGTTCGTCTGATTACTTTCCCGAGAGTGATGAGTGCAAGCCAGAGCGAGATCCTAGCACTACGTTGATACCGGCTTAGAGCACTAATTCTGCCTCGCCACAGCTAAGGCACGTCGCAGTTTGACCGAGTCCGATGTTGTCGATTCTTTTAATCCTGAGAGAAGGTATCTAATTAGGTTGCTTCCGCAGTCTGCAATGCATGTGCTGTAGACATCCCGGACTGTCAAGGAAGGTTTGCTCGACGTTTCACTCGAAATCAGCACGAAATTTTAGAGGAGCGCGAAACATGTTTACTAGGCTTGTGTGAATAGTGAATTTCAGGTTCAAAGCGAATTCAAAGCGAATAGTGATTTTGGTTGAATAAGTTTGAATAGAATTCAAATAGTCTATATGACATATATAGAAAAAAACGGGCATATTTATCATGACCTAACTAACCTGCACAATATTTTTTTAAAAGTTAAAATAAGGCCTCTGTGAAAATGCCATTTTTCTTTGTTCAAAGGTAGTCTAGCAGCAGGATTTGACTTTGGATAGAATACAAGTGATGAACTGTAAAATATGTTACATTTAAAATTTATTATACTTAGAGCATATAAGCTAGCGTAACAAGCTTTTAAACTTAAAAAAAAAAAGATGAATTGATGTAAGGGTAATAAGCTTATTTAAAGGAACCCTGCAACACTCTCTCAAATAGCCATGGCTAGCATAACAAGCTTTTAAACTTAAAAAAAAAAAGATGAATTGATGTAAGGGTAATAACCTTATTTAACCTGCAATACTCTTTCAAGTAGCCATGGACTGGATTCATTAAAGGAGCTGCTTATTGCTTCACAAATTCACCGCCGCAAAGATATTTAGAATATGTTCAATATAAGAGGTGTTACAAATTATTTCTGCACGGTGCGACTGTATTCTCCCTTTTTTTTCATCCCAACGAATGCGCCGGAAGCTAAGCAGGGAGGAATGGCACGGGAGATGAAAATACGTGCCTCGTGACTGAACACGTTTGCTCTTTTTTTTTTCCTTCGAATACGCTGCTAAGTTACGGCCCTAGCAACGACCAACGCGCCGTGCTGAAATCAGCCAATCACCGATACAATGGCTGTTATGAGTGATTCTTTAGCTTGTAGCACAATTTGTCAAGAGAAAAAAAAAAGCAATTTTCACCTGACTGAGAATTTATTGGAAATTTTTGGCCGCCAGCAGCGCAATAATATTTGGCTCACGTGTTCTCGGTAGCGTCAACTACCGATCAGCAGCGTTTTCCAACCATGCTGAGAAAGTTATGCAGGGCCGCTTAAAGTTTGAAGAGAGGCTTCGCCGCAGTGAGTGAGAATTTCCCCTGGGTAGCTGCTTTCATGGCTTAGCGCTTCTATGCTGCCATGAAACCACCTTTACAAAAAGTTACGAGCGGATTAATATACAACTATTTGTTCATAAGCAATACTTCGAAATTTTCAATAATTTAAATTTGAGTTGAAGCAAAATCGAATATGGTACCATTCGTTCGAATATTTGAAGCATTCGAATATTTCTACAAGCCTAATGCTTACAAATGGACTCTGGTTGTGGAGTTTCGCGTTTGACTTGCGGAGCGTCTGCTTGCGTGGTAGTCCAAGTTGTTGCTTTGCCGCACTTGCAACAAACGGCGCGACACACTTTTCAATGTGGCAGCACGCATTGAGCTCGCTGCATATTTATATGTATATACATATATATATATATATATATATACGTGTCTAGTCCCACTTTTTTTTTTTGCGGTGATTTTTCGTCCTGATTTACCAAGTCACCCAAGCAACTCGCGTCCTTTGAGATTTCGGCGATGCTTCCCTGGACTTGCCTTCTCCTTGGTGGTTCCGAACGAGCCACTTGCCCGGAGGGTTGTTCTCAAATCGAAGCACATACACAGGCTCGCCACGCTGCAGTGGAAGGTCGAGGTTCTTGGTGCCACCACCAGTGCTGCTACTTCTTGCATAACCGGCATCCACGGGCTGCAGCTGCTGCCAGCCACTTGGAAGCTGCATGGCAGGGGGAGGGGAGTGAAGAGTATTTGTCAGTTTAGAAACAATTAGGACCCATTAACTGAACCTCATGAACAGTGGCATCAATAGTGGCTTCTAAGTGCACTGGAAACAATATGCACAGGGTGTGCTTCGCATACCAACATTCCTATTTTCTTTTACAACCATGCAGCGTGATATTTGAATGTAAACATTCGACAGAAGTCTGTCTGGTTGGGTATGAAACTGGGAGCTGATTTACACTCTAACCAAAAGTTTTGAAGAAACCCAACATTTCCAAGCCGACTTGGTCCCTTCCTCAGGGGTGACTGCGGAGCTGCATAGCAGCGGCGTCTTCAAAGCACTCGCAAGGTGGATAATGACCCCCTCTCTCTCATTTGGTCGTGGAGCGCAGTCCATGTGTGTACACTGGGGGAAGGGTTCCGAGAGAGCGGTTGATGTAGAGGACAGCCTATAACATCAACCACTCTCTTGGAACCCTTCCCCCAGTGTATACACATGGACTTCGCTCCACGGCAAAACGAGAGAGAGAGGGGGGGTCGTTATCCCCGCTACGAGTGCTTTGAAGACGCCGCTGCTACGTAGCTCTGCAGTCACCCCTGAGGAAGGAACCAAGTAGGTTTCGAAACGTCGGGTTTCTTTAAAACTTTTGGTTGGAGTCTAAATCATCTCCCAGCATGATATTTGAACCACCCTACACATCAGGGGTCTCAAACACTTCAGCCAGTGGGCTCCATTGACACAATTTAGTCCTGCAAGGCCTGGGACAAGAACGAGCTAAAAGAAAAGGGGGAGGGGTAATTTGTACCAACCTACAGCTAACGTTACCACTTGAAAAAAAAAAGAAACCTTTTTTATATCATCATACTCAGGTCATTTTTGAAGAAGACTGGTGCCAGGATTCCAAAATGTTGATAGTGGTCGTCTAAATGACAAACCAGGAAGCACATTCGGAAATGTAGTTTTTGTTTCACAAGCTTCAACACATGGTGTGACGGGCTTCACAAAAAGAATTCTTCAGACTACTCATACCTTTGTACCACACATGCATACTTACTAACAAGATAAATCAAGTGTAGGACAAAGACAGTCATGTGCGACCTGCGAGCGAAAAATGTGTTCGAGTCTCTTGCTGTGTATAGTCAAGCAAATGAATATGCCAGCTTATGATGCTCAATGCTCGAGTTCCACCCTTAGTATACCAAGTCTGATGACCCAAGCAATAAAAGACAGGACTGCCATGGCCTACCAAGAATTGACAGCAAGTGCAATCTCTCCAGCAGCAGGTCGTAATAAATTGATCCAGCGCTGAGAAGGCCTAGCAGCTATTTTTTACTTCAGTTACTCAATGCAGGAACGAATGCATAAGTACACATATCACCACTCATCATTTTAGCACGTCTAGAAAACCTTGATTACAAAAGCACTACTTTAATGCATCTTAAAGAAAAACCAGCTTCACAAGAGTGAACTGTGAGCCGTCCAGCCTTGAACTTACGAGTTTGGTTGAAGAAATATTCCAACACATTAGCAGCTACACTTAAGTGTGCAAAACGAGATTACTTTCAGAAAAGAATCCTGGATATAATAATAATAATACACCGTGTAACGGGCAGGTCATAAATAAAATTTTAAATAATAAAAGTGATGAACAAATAACGAAACTTAAAACTGAAGCTCAAATGCTCAGCCAACCAACTGACATTGCCAATGCACTCAGTGAGTACTTTGGCAGTACCTGCGATTCTCTCACAAATCCCCCATTACCAACTTTGTCACGTCAACTTCACTCTTTCTATTTGCGACTTACAAAAGCAGAGGAAGCTTTTCATGTTACCTCTTCACTCAGGTCTACAGCACCCGGTCTCGGCTCTGTTAACCCATCCAACATCAAGTTAGTTTCTAGTAGCTTAGTTCCTATCATTGCAGATATAATTATATGGTTAACGAAATGTTTAAAGCAGCCGTATTTTCAGATTCCCCAAAAGTTGGTAGAATAACACCTGCCCACAATAAAGGTGAGCTTGAACTTCTCAGAGACACATTTGTATTATGCCAATCTTTAGCTAGGTCTTATGCATAAACAGTTAGTATCCTATTTAATGAGGTTTAATCTTATCTAAACAGCATGGCTTTCGGCCTGCTTATTCCACTGAGCTTGTGCTTCTAACCCTTGCCGATAAAATAAAGGCAATTCACGAAGGCTTCCTGGCTGACGGCATATTCATAAATTTAACAAAAGTGTTTGACACAATTAGTTGCAACATCCTTATACATACACTTGAATCGTATCGCATAACTGGTCCACCACTTTAATTTATTTCAAGATATTTATCTAATTGTACTCCAGTTGTTCAGATAGATAGCAAAGTTTCAGCTGCTAAAAAAGTAAATCAAGGTGTTCCTCAAGGATAAATTTTTGACCCGCTGCTTTTTTTGCTATTTATTAATGATCTACCTAATACTTCAGTATTGCAGACTATCTTGTATTCAAGTGACACAACCATTTTTATTTGCACTAATAACATCGATAACCTACAGTGAAAAATTAATGTTAATCTACATAATACAAGATCATGGTGTCAAAAGAACATGTTAAAGATCAATCCATTCAAAACCGCTTTTACGGTCTTTTATTCCGTACCGACAGTCCTTTCAAAATCTATATCTGCACACTTGGAGGATAACCTAATAAAGATGTATGATCGCACCAAGTTTTTTGGGGTAGTCCTCGACAATCACTCATTCGCAAGGTAACCTTTAGAATACATGCCAAAATCAAAACTTATACATATTATCCATTCCCTTTGTCACGCACATATTCACAGTCATCTATCTTATTGCATATCAGCCTGGGGCAATACACATTTCACCCACCTCAACAAACTTCTATGCATGCAAAATCAAGCACTTAGTTTCATGAAATTCAGCCATTTCGTAACCAATGCAACACCACTTCCATTCTCCATTCTCTTCATCAATTATTTCAGCTTTTATTCATCTGAGCAATTATCCATTGTAATGCATAGGCCTTTTCATGGTATTGTACATATTGATGGCATTATCGTAGATAACCTCGTAAATAACAACGTTACTAGGTTTTCCGAGCTGGACAATCGTCTTCTGCCTAAGATTCGCATGAACTACGGCAAGTTCACCACCACGTTCATGGGAATCAAGCTGTGGCATTCCCTTTCTTGCATCATCAAACACATAACATGCATTCAAAAACCAAGTAAAGAAATACATTTTGCAACAACTGTCTCCATCCTAGCAATTTATTTTTGTTTGTTACATGTTATATTGCTCTTTTGTTTTGTATTGTAATTTCCCATTGTTTTTTTTTTCCAGTGTTACTTTTTTCTTTTTGTCTGTTAAACATATAAGTATTTTTGCTTTAGAATTCATTTTTACACTGTTCATTTTCTTTCTCACCGAAGATACTGTAACCACTGAATGATGTTTATTTTCTTTTCCGTTCACATCTTGTATGAGAGCCCCCCGACAGTTTTTAACTTTAGGGCTCTTTGTATCACTACTGCAGACTCGTGCTAATTCAAACTCTGATAATTCAGACTTTTGGTTAATTAAAACAAAATTGATTGATTGATTTGTGGGGTTTAACGTCCCAAAACCACCATATGATTATGAGAGACGCCGTAGTGGAGGGCTCCGGAAATTTTGACCACCTGGGGTTCTTTAACGTGCGCCCAAATCTGAGCACACGGGCCTACAACATTTCCGCCTCCATCGGAAATGCAGCCGCCGCAGCCGGGATTTGATCCCGCGACCTGCGGGTCAGCAGCCGAGTACCTTAGCCACTAGACCACCACGGCGGGGCAATTCAAACAAAATTCAATTTTTGGTTGGGCCTTTATACTTTCAGTTTACTTAAAGCCTCTTCCTTTAACCTCACCATTTGGTTAATTCATACTTTTTGCAGTTCCATACCGAAAGATATCTGCTGCTTTCCCACTACTACTTAAAAATTTACATGCTTATATAATCCTAACAGTCTAAAATGACAAATAAGTGCCTTATGCTTTCGAGAAAAAAGGCTTTGCTAGTAAACAAATGTTTTGAATGAAGCACACGCACGATAAACTGCGATGCTTCTCAACTGGAATGGAGAGGTTTGTGCTGAAGGCACATATAGCAAAGAAGCAGTTGGCAATTCACGATTTCTTTAAAATGTCTGATCAGCAGTAAATGGCCAATAAACTTGTGGACTTTATATCTCTGCTTTTTTTTTCATTGGGTGCAATTAGCATAAAAATTTTTAAATGTGATAAAATCAATACCTAGTCATAATGTGTTGTGTCACCTAGCCCAGATTCATATATCTGAGAACATCTTCATAATTCAAACAGAATTCAGTAGTCCCTTTGAGTTTAAATTAACTAGAGTAGACTGTAATCTTGTACACACTTTTCGGTGCACTAGTATTGTTGAATAAACTTGAATCTTCATGTATGCTCACCCCAAATTTCTTGCACATGTTGTCATGCTTCTCTTTGTCCATCTTGGGCACCAGTGCCTTCAGTGGAGGTGCACTGTGGAAATAAACCCCAGATGATTACGTAAACCTCCAACATAGACTGCCATTTATCTAGAGTCTTACGCTAACACAGCTGACAAGTAGCCCTTGTCAGCTTAATCTAGTGGTTTCCAAACCAATGCTCCTGAGTACAATGTCATTTGGCAAGCTTAAAGGAGCTCTGACACGATCACCCACCTAATTGCAGTTTTCAGCTAAAAATAGAAGCAGAGGGTCTACCATCTCCATGTATATAAAAAATGAACTGTAAAAGAATATTTCTTTGGAATATGTGCCCGAAAGTAGCCGGCAATATATAAACCCTACCCACTGTCAAGGCGTGTTGGCCGGAGTCCCACGTTTCAACTTTCGCTTTTCCATGCCAAGCTGAAGAATCCAGAAAGCAATATCATTCACTGGAATTTACATCGCGACTCACGAATGCACACTGGTGTTATCAATCTCTTGAACTGCTCAGCTAAGTGCTTGACCAAATGCACTGAAATTTCGCCAGCTTCTTTGTGAACCTCCAAGGAAGAACCCGCATAACACAAATTATGAACGAAAATTGGATGTGTCATGACACTTTTTGTGGCTCAGCTGGGAGCTTGACATTAACAACTACAAGTCCTTTAATTTTAACCTAAAGCTAAGTGCACACATGTTTCTGCTTTAGCCCCACGCCACCTGAAATGTAGCTGCCATCATTGAAGACTGAAGCTGGATTCTGGTGTTCAGCAGCACAATGGCAGAGCCACCTCAGCCTGCATTTAGAAAGTAATTGCACGCTCCTAGGTAGTTTGATCAACAAAAACAGTTTTTCTACATGAAGGAAGACACGGCCAAAGTCCCAACAGCGATGTCGTGGGGCAAAACTGAAAGCCTTCAAGGCTTGATGAAGGCTTTCGCACCATTTGACAACACAGCAACACAAGATCATTGGTCATTATACAATATCAAAAACATGTACCTCGGGGTCATGTTGATTTTCATTTTAAAACGTGTAGAAAAAGTGTTTAAAAGAAAGGACAGGTGTAAATGGTCGATTGTTAAATGCTGTTTAATGTTAGTTGCAGTAAGAGCTCATCATTTGGAAACCATAGCTAGTACCTTGATAAAAGATCTTGCAAGCATCAGTGGTATGTGTGCTACAAGGGCAACATATATGGATGTTAAACGCACTTCATTATAGCTTTGTCCTTCAAGTGTATTTTTTTCCAGTTCGTGTTGTGCTACCACATGCTTTTTCCATCATTGTAATGAAAACAGCCGACGTTTAAAGGGTGCAACTTGAAACGAAAGACGAGTCTACTTGAGAAACGTCGATTGTAAGTTTCCATCTTCCTCCTCTTTTGATTTTATCATTGTGACATATACTTCGGCTTCCAACCAGCATACATTTACTTTTTTTTTTCTCTAATTAATGGCAAAAGGTCCTGCTACAATTTTTTACTGTGGAACCTCTTCCTGTATACTTTCTTCTGTTGAGCAATATTTTGAGAAACAATAAACTTGATTAAAATCGGTAATAAAATCAAGTTTCTGTCGGGAAGTGCAATATTGCTTAACTAAAATGAATTTTACGATAAAAGTTTACGGGGTGTGAAATGTTCTATAAAGCTGAATTCCTGCTTTGCTTGGGAATGTAATTTCGAAATAAATGTTCCATACTGAACTTGGCATTTCGACCATTGGTTGTAAATCAAGGGCTTCGAAAATAGATTTGGAATGGTCGTGTGGAACACCTGTAATTATGTGTACAGCTTCTTTTCTGTAATCCATATATTCCGCCTAAGTTCCTTTCGGTTGTGCTGCCTCATACAAGGTAATAACTTAATGTGGATAAAAATAGATAATCAAATAGTAAGAGTATAATTTTTCGTGGCAACAGAAAATATAAATGCAAAATGACACCATCCGTAAGAGAAAGTTTAGTATGGAAAGGCACCAGTGGCTTACACTCACATTTCCTCTGTGGGCATTTCCTCATAGAAATCTTCCAGAGTCTGTAAAAGATGGTCCACTCATTAAATAATCACAGAGTCACAGAAATCACATTATGTAACAGTGTCAACCATCCTCCAATTGTACCAAACATACTCTCAACAGCTGATCTTATGAGGTGTCTTATACAAGAAATACCTGGTAAGAGGCAACGGGTAACTACACCAAACAAGCAACTAGGTATTCTTGAAGAGAAGGCAGAGAACTTTAAACAAAAAAGTCAGTTTCACCGAGAGGGCGAGGCAATAAATTTCACAGTAACAAACCGGACTGGTACGAGAATTGAGGCTAGCACCTTCAGCATACAACCTGGCATAAGTCAACAAACACACGCATCTCGCGCAGCAGCCGTAATTAGGGGTCACAACAATTGAGCAGTAGGTGGCGTTGTGTTCGCGAGCGTTGATCACCACTATCATCATCATGGTTAGGTCGGTAGCACCGGCGGTGACCCCTGGTCGCAAGCCTTGGTGGTGGCATGAGAGAATGAAGCGAGTCTCTTTGGCTGGTGGCTTTTGGTGCGAACGGTTGTATCTCACAGTGAGACCCTGATGCACGGCACCGCGGGTCGTCTGCCGGAGCCACTGTTTTCATAAGTGAACTTTTTATTTTGGTGAACCTGTGCCTGGAAAACCAAATGTCACTCTAGAAGCAATGCACACTGTAGACTGATAGCAGCAAACATATAAAATGGGCCATGGATAATCTGCCAAGCAGCGAAGTGCTTCGGCCTTTATGCATGTGCCATAGAAGATTCCAGCGTTATCGCTAGCGGCCACAAAAGTTACAGAACAAACTTTAATGTACGTGTTGTGTGCATAATCTCGTCGGTAGGTTCCAAGATCATCTATATGGTTTCCAATCATTTGGGCTTGGCTTGCACAAGGCAGCTTTGCACGCATAATGAAGCAGTAAGAAAAAGAAAATAGAAAGAAGAGCATGCGGCATTACCATTAGAAGATTACAAATTGCTATTGCAGTCATCACTTTGCCGGTGAAACTTTTTTTTTCTGTTTATATAGTTGAACGGTCTCTATCTCAAAGCCCTGCGATGTTCGGCGATTTTCCGGCAACAAAGCGGCAAGTTTTTCGCAACATTTCCGTCTTTATAGTTTGACTAACAGATTTGCTGTTAAAACATATAGTATAGAGGCGCATGATGAGGTATGCACACATGAGGTATGTACAGCGGCTTTTCAGAGACTTTTCTAAACAATCTTTGGGTAAGTGCTACAAGCACACTGCCGAGTACCCATTACACCATAAATAATCATAATTTCTGTGCAGTAGGCCAGCATTCGCAATGCTATCCTTCGTCATTCTTCAGAGAAGCGTGGTATCCGCAACACAATTGTTACAAATTTCGTGCAATTTTTCATGCAGTGTCTTACGATGACGAAAAATTATGCCTGAAGTGGGTATGCACCACAGTTAATAGGTGATCAAGAACAAGTTTTCTAATGGGTTGGGGCATTGGATGACCCACTCATTACGCAATTCGCATTGTGTGATGCCTAGCTGTTTCTTTTATATTCTGCAATGCTTTATTACTCATATTAACGCCATTCCTTTCCCGGCATCATGCCTGCCTAAAGCCAGTTTAGAGACAAATTTGAGGCACTGGCATGGCTCAGTGGTAGAATATTCGGCTTGCACGCAGCGAACCCGAGTTCAAATTTCATTGTGTCATTAGTGTTTTTTATTTACAGAGTTTTTTGCTTTAGATGCTGGTTATGGACAGTTTCCAGAAAAACTAGGGTAGCTAACAATGCTTTCAGCTGGGGTAAAGTGTGAAAAAAGGAGAGTGAGATGAAAGGAGAGGTGGAGGTTAAGGACAGGAACTCGTGCAGGTTTGCTTTCAGCCACTGTGCGCTCCACGAGAAACAGGTTTGCTTTCAGCCACTGTGCGCTCCACGAGAAACACAGCCAAATGTTAAAAAATAAGGGAAATAAGCTCCGTTTTTCAAAATAGCGATGTCTTCATAGTAGAATTTTGATGGTTCCATTTTGACGTTTGAATTTTTCTTCAGAATTCCCTTAAAAACTGGTATTAACTGTGTGGCTTAGCCATCTCTTGCATTAAGGGTACATGCAAGTTGAAAATCGAGAGTTTTCTAAAAAATTACCTATTTTTTGTTTTCACCTGTTTTGATAAGATAAGTATCTACTGTTCTGAAAAAAAAAAAAAAAAAAAAGCCGAGCCTCACTCTTCAAATAACGACGGTTTTCCACGCTGCTGCAGCGCAAGAAATAATAGTAAGAAGCACACTTTTGCCACTTTTTTCGAGCGCCGCAACTGCCTTTCTAGTAACGTAGTACAGATCGGACACTGCTATTGGCCGCTGCGCCTTGGTATGTGCTTTGAAGACTACTTGCATGGTTCGTGTCTCGTCTAGCAGCGTAGCTGAACAACGCTTGTCTTGTGTGTTCACCTCCATTATGGATGAAGAAAGCCATAGCTTGCGCGATAGCTATGCTGTAAACATGAGAGTTGTGGTGGCACACTCTGCAAGAATAGGCTGTTAGCAGCTGGTCAATTTGTGGCATTTCTTGGCTTGCAAAAGTCAATGCATCGTAAGTCATTCACAGCCGTCAGCCAGAAAGTCTGTGATACGGCAGTGGATGCCATCTGTGCCAATCACGTGAGGTTGAGGGAGCTCACAGTGAGAGAAGTTAGCAGGGACGACATTGGCGTTATGTACGGCTGTATGTGGCACAAATGTGGCCTGAAGAAAGCCACAATGACATTAGCACTGTTGTGTCCCTTGACAATGGACTTAGTTTAGCTAAGGAGAAGTTTTGTTGAACTTATACCTAGCTTGCAGTTGGCACAAGGCTTTGCCAAATAGAGCGGAAGATGTTTGGCAAACGTTTCATGGCCCTGTCTGAGCAAAATGTCTGCTAGGAGTCAGCTTGCAAAAGCCATGAGGGACCAAACTTTTGCTGCTGGCATATTTTAGTGGCAGTGGCCGCTACAAGAAAGATTGTAAATTTCATTGCATTTAATGAGATCTCTCAGAAATAAACATTCAATTTTAACTTTAAATTTAAAACTAGTTTTCCTCAAAACACAAATTTTGCCTTTTTTTTTTTCTTATGTGTTCCTCCTTTATTGGGTACTTCTGGTGCTCGGATCTGCATTAAAATTTGCCCAATTTTTTTTCCAAAGTATGAGAAATAAAATTATCTTGTTTAAATTTTCGGATTAAATTTAATAGATATCAAAAGTTCTATGTAAACCTTTACTAAGTCGGGAAAAATATGGACTTGATCACATTTATTACATATTCTGTATGCACTTCGTAATTAGATATTTGCAGCCTACACTTTATTTGAAACATTATGAACTATCAATGATAAAAAATTATGGAAGCTAGTGATAAAAAGAGCAGGGAGGGGCGGGGGGCAAAAGTTTCAAGTTTTTCCCTTTGTCATGTTGCAGAACTAAATGAGTGTAAGTTGCAAAAAAAATAATTATATATTTGAAATTGGCACAAAATGTTTTATTAACAGCTAAAGTTTCATTGCTCCAGAGTAAATATTAAAAAAAAGAAGTGTCCTTGAGTGGCATATCCAAGGCAGCGTTAAGGTAAAACAAAAGGTAACAAAAGTTCAGACGTTAGTATATCCGCTTGTCCAGTAGTTTTATTCATTTTGGGCCACATTTTCTTGCGATATTTTTTGCCACTATGATTTGCCGAACAGTGTGCTAACCCAGCAACCCTAAGCCGTTTGCTATGTGGACAATTTTTTACTATGTTTTCCTTTTGCAATAAGAACCTCTGTAAACACAGAAAAAATCGTATCAGTGTTTAAGATGTCATTTCCAGGCTCTTTTCTTTCTTCGAATTTCTTTCATTGCAGCACGCAAAAGTTTACACTCACTACTGAAAGCTGTGCATATTAAAACCAAATTGCGGCTGCTCTGACCATGAGGCATGCTTTTAGATGCGAAGCAGCCTAGGGTCGAGCTTAATCCAGTGTGCGGTGGGGCCAGCCTTACTGCAACTTGCGTGTTCACTTCCCCTCTCCTATGCTCCGCCCTCTCCCGCCTCACAACGCCAATGAAAGGAGCGTCTGCTAACCTATGCTCACTCCCCTCTCTTATGCTACCCCTTCTCTTCTAACGAGTTTCTTGGAATGAAAAAGAAAAAAACTGTGCGTGCTACACAACTGTTCATGGACTGCCCCATATATATGGCACAGGATCTTGACCTCCGATCTAGGGTTGGAGGAATATTTCTCTTGTGCGTTATTGAACAATGAACTTTTGCAGAGTGCGTGTTGAACAATCAGAGTTGTCTGTCGTTCATTGCCTATTAGCAGTGATTGGCATGTTCCAGTACAAAACACTGGTCCATCACTGCGTGCTTTGCACCTCCCTAGGTGTCTCCCCAGTGCAACGCCGCGATGAGCACCAGTATCAACGCCGCCATTAGCGTAAGCGTTCGCGCCCGCTGCTTCGCATCTACACATGGTTCCCTTTAGTGGGAGATGGTGCAATCTTTTTTTAATAATGAGATGATTTAAAAAAATAGCATGCAAAAATTTTGAATTCGCACCCTAGCGATCTTGAGTTCGAAAGGGCAGGTTCTTTTAGAGTATTTTACAGCAACAGCTATTACAAACACGAATGTGCTGGCGGAAGAAATAACGAAAAAGCACTTCTGAATGAAGATCCTTGAATAAAGCATATTAAAAGATAGGCGTCAACTCGTTTCCACCGTTCATGTGTTTTTCTGTGGACGCAAAGCAGGGAAAATTACAGTGTGATGTCCAAAAGTAGAAGTGACAGACATTCTGGCGGCATGTGTGCATTTATTAGTGAAAATTGGTTTAATACATATGTTCAGTTTGACATCTCAAAACCACCATATGATTATGAGAGATGCCGTAGTGGAGGGCTCTAGAAATTTCGGCCACCTGGGGTTCTAGTAAAAATCGCTTTGGTTACATGCTGCAGTGCTCTTCAAACGAGCTATCAGCAGCATATCTGGAACGGATGACGTCCACCAATGAATCGCTGCCACAGTTTCACGCTACAGATTAAACTAGACGTCACGAACTCATGCGGCAGGTGTGTTTCACTGTTAAGCACCAAACATGGCATTGTGTATTATTCAAGATACACGCACGCCCACTGTTTATTCAGCGGAATAATTCTAGCCACGTGACTGACGTTGGTGGCTTGGAGAACAAGGGGCACATATTTTGACGTGCAGGCGTGGCTACTGCCGGTGATGGACGCTCCTAAATCCCAGCTTGGCAGTGCAATTTCTGTCGATTTTATCAGAATGGCACAGTAAATCTCATTTGATGCACTTTGGCACAGTTGGCACAGAAGAGGAATCACTAATATTCGCACAAGCTTAGCAAAAAGTAACTAATAATGTTGACAAAGGAGCCCATCCTGTTGCTCGTTTTGACTCCTGCTGCAACTGTGCTATGCGATTTCATGAGAGATTGATTCTCGGCAGAAGAAACAATGAACAAGGCTTGAAACCATACCACATCCAAAAAAAAAAAAAAAAGAGGGGGGGAAGGGCAATTGTATCAGGGATTCTTTGTACCCCTCGGAATATGAATTTATGCATGCGCACCTTTGTTGGCAATCTGTTTTTATGTATGCAATCAGTCTTGTTACGCATGGGCTTGCAAAGGTTTGTGGTTGTGGAATTTATATACATTGTTGCGAGAAGACAGTTGTTAGTAAGTGCATGTCTTTTTGTGGTTAGTCTTCATTTGCGCTGATATTTTCTCCTTAAACACACTCCATAGTGAAATGGCTCAGCCACAATCGTGTCTGAAGCAAAATGTTCAAGGTTCCATGAGAACATTTTAGGAAGCCTATGAGCTATGAAGCATGCACAAACATGATGACAAATTCTGTCACAGAACAGGGGCAGGACTCAAAGAGAATTTGAAGGAGTCGCACTAGAATGGTAGAGGTGGTCCGACTGTCAAGACAAATGAATAGCCCCAACATGGGTGCAAAACAGGTGGAGGCCTCATTCTGTCGATAGAATGGATAGCAAATAGCCTTCGGATGACACGGACTGGATCGAAATGCGATAAACATGGGCCCAAAGAAACGAAATAGCCTGTTTTATGTTCACCCTAATCCCACTCGGATAGTTTGAAAAATTCGCCACCGAAGGACTCGTCCAATTACGACGCCACCTAGTGTCCACTCGGGATTTAACAGACATAAATTGTTAAAGTTATCGTGCTCTCCAATCCCAAGCTTTGATAGACAATGCCTGGCTATATCGATGCTGAGCTATAACAACTCTGTATTTCTTCATGCGATGAAAGATTTCTTAACTGCCTATGCTTGCCTCCCCCCGCCCCTCATGTGTCCGGATGTTGCACCTTCGCAAAATGTCACACAAACCAGCATGAACCGCATCTCAGGGTTCTTGTGGCATGCATAGCCACAGATGTTTTTATGTTCTGACACACAAGCAGCTTCGCTGGAATATGGTTTTTGCCAAAATTACATATTGTTTTTATTTGCTTACATAAGCTTAGCTTCTCTACATTCATAACAAAAAAAAAAATGAAGATAGAAGTCAACTTAAGGTAGGTTAAAAAAGCTCTTAAAAAACACTGGGTCGCTGCTAAAATAAAGAAGAGCTTAATGTCTAGAGTCTCAAAATTGTCACCGTGCTGCTTGTCACTTTATTTCCTATGAGGAAATATTTATTTCCTATGCTACATGCTCACAATAACAATGATTGGCAAGCTCTCATAATAGACATTATTTTAAGAAACATATCATTGCTGCATAGATAAGTTTTGACGTACCTTTAAAATTTATTTTTCGTAAGATCCATTTTCTGGCCACCTCAGTTTAGACATGTTCTTGGTACTTGCGATAGCCACATTAGGATGAAATTTTGCCAACATATTCTTTAACATGTGAAATATCTCCTTCAAATGCGATATTTCATTGCAAAAATTTCATTAAATTAGGCTACAGAATAAACTTTTTTCGAGTAGCATCTCCCCTTAAGGACACAACGCCTCGAAAACATGTCAAATTATAAACTGATTTAAATGAAACTGAGTTTATGTATATGAGCATGCAGATTTCAAATGTGGAATAATTTTTGCAGTATATATTTTTAAAATTTTCTTTAGTAATACTGTCAATAACGTCAGAGATTTTTACAGCAGTGGGTAGAAGTGTCTACAAATACGGCTGAACCCCTTTATAAGAGGCCTGTTCAGGGCAGCATTTCTTGTCTTTTATACGAAATGTCTCTTATAAGCAGGGTACCATGATGGATTTCTCCATCACCCTGTATTTTACTGTAGGCACACTGGTGTCTCTTATACCCATTTGTCTTTCATATCAGTGCCTCTTATAAAGGGCTTCGACTGTATTACATATTCACCAATATAACAAACGTAAAGATAGTAAAAATAGCATAATACATAAAAATACAATTGTAAAGAAAAGCCATGATACAGAAATATGATGACACTGAACCTTCGTTAATAAAGAGTGCACATGTTTCAGTCACATGTGTAGAAACTGAAGAAAAGATAAGAGTAGAGAAAGGCAAGCACGCCAAGATACTAAATTAGAATGACTTCCACCATTTTGGATCACAAATATCAGTATACTTGGAAAGAGGACCGACAATGAACAGTAAAATCCCGATAGCGTCGCTATCTTGTAGCTGACAAAACGGTTAGGTCAGCAAGTTTGACAAATTTGTAGACAGTGGGCTGCGGTACCACCGTCTCGGGTAAAGCATTCGACTCTCGCAATGTCATGTAGCTTTAAAGTATTAAACATTTCGAATGAATTTTTGGAGCCATAGTTTGTTGTGAGCCGAGCACTTGCGATAGAAAAGACTCATTTGCGAATTTACTACATGCGGTTGTTCAAACAGGTTTAGAAATGCATGCCTACTTTCTTGCATTCTGTACTCATCCCAGGCAATTTTGATGAGCCTAATTACTTAGTCTCCCAGAATGTAATTTGAGAAGTACTTAATGTACAAGGAGAAAAATTGCAAATCTGCACACAAGTATGCAAAAGAGTTTTGTCGAAATCAATAAAGTACTTTGAAAATGTGTTTAGGCAGAAACACTTGTTCATAGCACAAATTTTTTTTCTGGTGTTGAGTGCAACCATATCTTCATTGCAGCTTCGCCGAAAAAGCCACTTGTTGGAGTGCTTTCCGTTCGCCACCCCTGCTTTGAAAAACGGAATGTGCCTCTTGATATCAGCGTGCTCTGGAAAAGCAGCACTGCATGTTGCACTCCTGCCGCACCAGCATCCGGTGTACATAAAAGTGCAGTTATTTTGACAATCGTACTATTCCAAGACATTTTTTTATGCCTTTATAAACATTTGATATTTCCCTTCAAACTCTGGGAGAAGCATACAAAACTTTCTCACATCGTCGTAAAGCACGTCGTCTTGAGGGGGCAGTGTCTCGTCATTGACTTCAGTGTCTGCATACGGCTCGTCATCAGCTGCCTGGCTGCCCAGCTCTTCGTCCTCCGTATACTCAGGGCTGCATAGAAATTACAGCTTCTTAACTTTTTCGTTGCTGCGCGAGAATGGTTGTTTTTCATATGTCTTAAGAAGATCATTTTTGCCAGTTTGAAAAGTACTCCGGCACGCATTGCAGCATACTAAGCTTTGCAGAATAAAATTTGTTTCAAAAAACATAGGTAGTAATCCAACAACAGTATTTTAGAATGAATAAAAATGTGAAAAGTGAAATTTTTCGTCACCAGATGGTAAACAGTGGAATAAAAAACACTATATATACAAAAATATTGACAACGTAAAAAATTCATAATATGCAATTAGTAGATAAATGACCCAAAAACAGTATAAAATAATTGATGTTGTACAAAATGTTTCTCTTAATATAGACAAAGAAAATCACAACCAACAAACTGCTTCATTGCTCATGCCATGCGGTGAAGCATTGCATGGTTTTTCGCGAGACACAAGCGTACTCGTACACACTTCTCGGTAAATTTTCATTGCCTTGCGATAAGTCTCTCTAGGTGTTCCAATACAGATGGATCCCCGCGATGTGAATAATCCCTTGATAAATGAGATGTCCAATGAACTTCACTATTTCATCTAGCATCACTTTTTTTCCATAAGCCACCTCACTCCGCATAGGTTGGCATTCCAATATATGCATCCAAGCATATTCCTTTGCATCTTTGTGCATATCGTAATAAAAAAGGACAATATCAGGTGCACTTCTAAAATGTTTCGGCCTGCTCCGTAATCAGGGCCAATATGTGCTTCGGGGCCCTCCTTGCCGTTAAAAGAAGCTCTGCAGCCAGCGCCACCATAACACACCCCAGCGAAGTGACAACCGCGCACGTAACCTGAGTAACTGTAAGATTATGCACAAAGGTCAGAAGCTATATGCACTTGTGGCGGAGGAGATAACTTGAGGATGTAAACAAAACAAACCAATGAACGGCTATGGATGTCTCAGGCTGACACAAGACATCATGGCCGTAAACCTTCAAGCCTAGGTGCTGTCATCCACGAAATGTCCGCTCATTCTCACTCAATTCAGGTGGGCTCGCTAGACAGTTTGGAGCAGCCCATGTGTTTTGAAGTGCTGATGTGCGCCCAAGCACGCGTGACGACCGCGTAATAGGAGCGACTAGTGACGCTATACGTGAGCCTGTGCCTGATATATCGATAAAGCAAAACCAAAGTGCCTGGAAACTGGCTGCGAGAGCCACCTGCACACTTTATACATGCACTTTACATGCACTTTACATGCACGTATACTTTATACACACTCCATACATTCTTTTGCAGAAATAATTTTCTCTGACTTCTAGCAACAGCTCTGTATTGGTTAGCTGGCATAAATTTCTGACAATTATTACAGCTCAACTCAATCAAATTGGGAAGCTAACACATAAATTCAATATTTTGCTTTCAAAGTTTTTTTTTTCATTACAGAACTTCGATGTTACTCTAGCATAATCATTAGGGGCACGCACTTCTGTCAAGTTCGCCAACCTAGTGAATTTTTCCAACTACACACGCACATTGGTTCGTACAAAAATCTAAAAAAAAATCGCTATGTTGCCCAAGTCGGCAAATTCGAAAAAAATTCCGAAAGTTTAGAGACTGAACTAACTACTAGAAAGTGCTGGGGCCACGAGAAAGAAATTTAACATGCCAAAATCGATGACCAAAAAGTGTCGATCACTGGTGATCGATTTGAATAGGCATGGCAACGAAAGAGTTAAAGCTCAAGGAGAAATGTTCGGTGTCCAGGAAAAGTACGTTGTGCCGCCCACCAACAAAGACCAACCTTCCCCGCTCCGCTAGAAGAGGGCAAGTACCGAAGAGCTCGCGCTTTTACCAGAGGTGCTACAGCTCGTTTTGCATGTTAGTTCTAGCGCTGGAGTTTGGACATTCTTGCATGGTCTGTGAAAGACTGTGTTTCAACTTTACTTTGCCTACAAAACATAGCATCAAGCAAGAATGCCATGGTAAGACTAAGATAAACCAGCTTTGCTGCTTTTCATTAAAGCTACTGTATATTTCTCCCTCTTTTTTTTTTTTTAGATGCTTAATTGGGCCCATAACATCGCCGAGTTATGAGCAGCAATGGCTAATACAGAAGCGCACTCGACCTGCCATGCAGCACTGATCGGAATAAATACATTTACTCGTCATAATTTCATAAACCTCCATGTGGTTCCTGCTATGAAGATCAAAGTACCGTATGTCAGTGAAAACTTGCAAGTGTTTATGAAGTTAATTTCCCTATGCCATACCATAGTCGATTGTATACAGCAAGATCTCTGTGAAAAAAATTCCGCCATATCCACGAAGTGAATGATGATGAGTGGGCGAAGCTCCGGAGGTAAACCTGGTAAACCATGAATCCTCTGTACATTTTGCCCACTTGATTTTATTACATCGCTCCCTCTAGCGCACGTCGCCGCACTAAATCGAACGATTGCCTTCAACCAATGACACGCGCCATATGTGACATCATTCCTATTTTATAAGATCTCGCGTCTTCATCAACTACAAGTACCGCTTTCTAGTTTATAACATCTTGCATCTTTTCATCATCAGCTACAAGTACCACCATCTAGTAAACACTACAAGAACTAAACGAGAGGTGGCTACATACAGGAGACGGTACCGCCATCTAGTGAACACTGCAAGAACTAAACTAGAGGTGGCTACATACAGGGGACGGTACCGCCATCTAGTGAACACTGCAAGAACTAAACTAGAGGTGGCTACATACAGGCTACAGGGGATGCACAGCCCACGCCCTAAGGAGCTTCGCCCCTAAAAAACAAGGGCTACGCATATTGTAAATCAGTCATTTATTTATTTATTTATTATTTATCGATACTGCAGGCCAATATGCTGGCCCATGCAGGAGGGGCAAATACAATAATACAATTCTGCAGTTGTGCAGAATACCGTAGAATTGCACATCTTCAATAACTTCTGCTAAAGGAGGGCTACATTTCATTTGTTTGGCAAGTGTCAGCACTCACATGGGAGATGTAGTCTGTCTGGGTTCTGAGCACGCATCGTCTGCTGGTGCAGCAATGGGCAATGATGGAAGCATACGCAGAGGTTTAGGCACCAAAGGACGAGGCGGTGGGGCTCGTGTAGGTGGAGCAGGAGGAGGAGGAGTGCTTCGGCAGGGCACTGCACAGAACAAACTCTGAAACACAGACTAGTTCGCAACACTATCACTTACTAAAATATGTACAACCATGTACAACCTCTTAAGGAAAAGCGATGCACAAGTGCAGATTTTTTTTTTTTCTTCAGGTGGCAGCTTTCCCTACAGCATTGTCTTTTTCATCTTCTTTTTTAGCATTTTTCAGCCTCTAGAAATAGTTAACATAAGGCTTGCAGTCCAGCTTGAAAGCTAGGCTCTGTGCATGTAATTCCTTCATCGTGTGGTAAAGTATGCGTCGAAGAGAGTGGGAGATGCACAACACAAGGCTGCACTAACGCCAACACTCTACTCCTCTAATGCATCATCCTATCATCAGGCCAATGATGGTCTATCGTGTAGATGTAAATCCTATTTTATCGATACTGCCACCTTTCCACGACATGAAGACAAGAATTGAAGTCCTCACATTTCTCTTTTAATCACTAGATTAAAAAGAAATGCATTGGCCAGGCTTCTGTGACCCTCTCACCAAAAAAGTGACTACTCCATCCACATGTGTATAGCACAGTGCGATATCATGATGTGGTTTTAGTGGCGAGTATGTTTTACAACTGGCTGTGCTCCTGATAACATCTTGATGGGGCTCACTTTTCACCTTCTATGACAACTTTTGTAACGATGCTGGCTGCATTCGAAAAATTGCTTTCCAATAAAACCTTACGTTGCGAGTGAAGTGCATGTGTGTTGGAGGGCCACGAATGACGAGGTACAACGTGAGCATACAATGGGAGCAAGCTGTTGGGCTAAGGACCTGAGCTCACCGACTTCCAACGTTATGTCTTCCCCACTGGACTGTTGATGAGCACAATTCTCTCCTCAAGAGCTTGGTGTGTGGACTCATTAGGCACATTATAGGTTTTGAGAGGTTAATGTTAACTATACTTATTTTTGTTTGGGCTGATGCTTGCTAGCATACCTTTGTTTATTTTAGCATTTCCATTTTTCTTCACGAGTGCAAATATATTTTCGTTCTTGTGAAAATCAAAAGCTTACCTCCTTCTCTTTTCTGATAATAGTATTTCACAGCTAGCCCAACTAGCTTTTTTTTTTAACCAAACCTGTCACAAATTGGGGTCCGTGACAGGACAAAGCTGTTTGTTCTTCATCTTGATTGTTGGGTAAAAACCATTACTAGCACACGGAAAATATAGGATTTGGTGGAGGGTATGGGTCTGAAGGAAGTGGAATTTAAAGTGTGGTACAACGAGCGGATGGCACAAGAGTCTGAGGAAAGGGCACAGAGGGAGCAGCTCCAAATGGAGGCCAAAGAGAAGCGGCTCAAATTTAAGCTAAAGGCCAAGATGGAAAAGCTCGAACTGGAGTTCGAGGAGGATGAGTCAACCGAAAGGTGGTCCCCAGACTAGGTGCTGAAGATTGGTCGTCGAGTTGCAGACTTGAGCCACGAAGACTGACTGGGGCCTCCTGCCATCGTGTTCCCACTCGACAGCACCATAGCCATTCAGTCGTGAACTCCAGCCTAAGGCTTGTGGCCTTGGCGCCGGCAGGCAATGTTGCAACAGCAGTCGGGCTATGGGACCGAGCTGTGCACTTGTCATCACTACCGAGCCCCTGTCAACTACTCCAGTCAAGCTGCCACATTTGGCGAGATCCAACTCGCAATTTTCAATGCGGCACCGCTGAGCCGCATCCTCGCTATGCTTTGTTGTTACAGGTTTCGTTGAACTCCCACTTTGCACTTTGAAACTCTTTTAAAAAGAAACAATGAACTTTTTATTAAGTGTTTACTTGTGCATTAGTCTTAGGTTCTAATTAAGGTTTTATGCTTGTTTTAACAAACCAATGGCTTTGTTCTTGTTCATGCTCTCGGAAGTTTAGCCCTAGGCCTAAAAGAACCTGCATCAAAGGCCTAAACAGAACCTGCATCACATACAGCGGATGTTCTGTCTTGATGTCGCCTTTCGTACTCATCTGAGCACTGTCCCCTTTTTACTTTATTATGGATCAAGTATTCGCATCAATATCATGGCGCATCATTTTTGGGCATGGACCATCAATGAACCTGGAAACCCATTTTTTTTTCTTTTTCGTAAATCACTGCATTATTTTTTCAGCCAGTTTCAATATTATGAAAAAAAAAAAACAAGTTTCAGCTTCACGCTAGTTCTGAACATAAATACAAAATTACTATTAAAACTATCTAATAAACCTAATTTTACCAAAGTTCCCATGAAGACATTTACATTCCTTGACAGGATCAATGTTGTCATCAACCTAAATTACCTTAACTTGGCCTTGACCACCTTGATTTAATGAACTTTTTTCTGAAATAAATGACTAGAAGATGCAGTTATTTGAGTAATCTCAAGTGATTTGAGCGACAAAAATGTGAAACCCAAACTTTAACCTCAAAGCTCTCGTGCCCACTCCAAGCCAGGTTATTGGATGCCTTGGATCTCTTGGTAGATTGGCTGCTGACCATGAGGGTACTGAGGATGCATTCAAAGCATTTGTTATTGACGAGAAATGTGTACATCCTTTGCCGATGAAGCAAACAAAGGCAAAGATCACAGGTTTATTCACTTAATTACCTATAGATTATTTCACTAATAACATCTCATGTTTTACAACCCAAAGCCACGATATGATCCTGAGAGATGCCGTAGTGAAGGAATTTAGAAATTTCGACCATCTGATATTCTTTAATGTGTACTGACATCGCACAGTACAAGGACCTCCATCATTTTACCTCGATCGATATGCGACTGCTGCAGCTGGGATCAAACCTGTGACCTTTGGGTTAGCAGCGATTCCCTACAGGTTAATGAAAATCTTGAAGTAACTTTAGCGTTAAGTCAGCATGTCTGAGCTCCTAGGCTAAGTTATTTATACAAGTCGTGGAAATGAATATATCAAAAGCAGGCTTCCACATGCTGCATCTCTAGCTCCACAGATAACTTTCGTTACCCTATTTACCTTCCACATTTCACAGAGCTTTAGTCTATCATGCTTACTGAAAAAAGAAAATGGTGACACTACGCAGTCTCAATGGAAAAAAATATTACCATGAGTGACCGGTCTCCGAAGCGGCGAGATTGCGACACACGGCATTGTTTCTCAAGCAGTCTATTCTCAAAGGTGCCGAGCACCTTCCATTTTCCAAAGCAGGGGTGGCCGGCAGAAAGCACTCCAACAAACAGCTTTTTTGAGGCAACTGCAATAAAGATGTGGTTGTTTGCAATCTAGTGTAAAAAAAAAATGTGGGTAGCTACATCTGCCGGTAAGCAATGAACAAGTGTTTCTTTGGACAGGCCAACAGCAAGATGGGCCATTTCCCGCTGGTATGCCAGGGACCCCTGCTTTGAAAAATGGAATGAGCTTGGAAATTGCACTATTATAAATGCTCGCGAACGATTGCACTGTGTGTCACAATTTTCCAGCAGCGGCCACCAGTAACTTGTGCTAATCTTTCTCTGTTAAGTTTGTACCTCTTCTAAACCAATACTAGAAACAGTGTACTAAAGGCACGCCAATTAGATGCATCCCGCACAGAATGGCCACCCAAGACACTCACACGAAGGCCTGTCTGGCTGGGCTGCGCTGTGTGCAAGATGTAGACTAGAGTGGACCGGCAAGCACATTCCAGAGGGCCTCGCTGGCTTTGAAGGGCAAGCAGTAGCAGCAGGCAGTGTTCGCCGCAGCCAGCCAGACGCCACAGGGTGGTGCATAAACTGCGCTGGCACATACAGAGGGGGCTCGGGTAGCTTTGGCTTTGTCCTCTGCGAAGAACCCTCCACAGGGTTTGGCAGGCACGATTCCTCGTGCTTCGGTTGCGACGATGCTACAGTCTCTCTACGAGGATGCTCTGGTGGCTTTGACAGGGTAATTGGTGTCACGTAGTCCTCCTCTTCTTCACACACAGCCTCACAAGACGCAGAGGCAGGGTGGTCTCCTACAGCCCTGGGCAGCAAAGAGTCTTTGCGGAAGTCAGAGGAGGACACGGCCCTTGGTGAGGCTTGTTGTGATGGCACAGCCCTTGGTGGCGCTTGCAATGGGACGGCCCCTACTGGCAATTGTTGTGATGATACAGCTCCTGATAGTGCCTGTTGTGGTGGTGCAGCTCCAGATGGCATTTGCTGTGATGGCTCAACCCCCGATAGCACTCCGACATGTTCAAACGAGGCTCCCCTGGTGAAGGATGCTCTCCGGCTTTCCGGGAAACCACCAAAAGGGCTGGATGTTTCCTTCACAGAGCCTAAAGAACAGTTGCGGTTGTTGGGCGGTTTTGGTGCAAGACTTGGGCGAGGAATCCGAACCTCAGTTGGCCTCTTGACAGAGGTAGCATGCGGTGTAGATTTGGCATCCTTGTCATTGAACAGCTCCCGGAGGGTCTTAACATTGGACCTTGGAGAAGCCAAGGCTTCGCGTGCTTGCTCATCCTAAAATGGCAAAAAAAAATGAAACACAAACCCTTCAAAAAACAGAGTTGCCAGATGTTACGAAGTTAACAAGCAAATAGTCATCACAGAAGAAGCCACAAAAAGCTGGAATACAATAAATTTTCCCACTCTTGAAAATGTTTTTATTTATAATAACAAATGTTGCTCAAATACGTAACTAAGAACAAAACTAAGAATGTGGAACTAGGAAAAAGAGCAGATATTTGCTTTTTAACGTTGTCTCCAGGGTGGTCTCAATTTGGCCAATTGCAAGTTTGGAAGGTGTGATCATTGCTTGACGTATGCTTGACGTCAACACTTGACCTTGACGTATGCTTAATTTCAACACTCAATTACTAAGTCATCAAAAATTGTGCTATTAGTGAACAAATGATTGCTAAAATAATTATAGTTGAGAGAAAAATACCAATAAAGCTTAAAAACAATACAGGCAACTAGAAAATTCTACAAGCAACCCTGAAGAAAGAAGCCCAAATCCATTCACTATAACTGGAACTAGTAACCCTGCTTCAGAGCAATATTTTAGAATTGAATTCAGCATTTTATCTGGACCTGAACATTTCCCGAGATCTCTATTTATCGGCAGTGCTATAATTCCTTCTTTAGAAAGAACAATGTCACAGGCACATCTCTCGTTTCCTTCAGCCATTCCTACGTGACGTTCTTTTGCAGAGGACGATGCAGGCAAAAATGAAGTTGAAGCGCTCAAATATAGTTCACTACAAATAGCTTTGATGTTCTCTTTACTGTGAACAAGGCTACACTACGGTAACTGAAATGTCAATTTTTACATTTTTAAACCTTTTTCATTTTGGTCAGTACTTTTTCATTTACTTTGCTCTTCATGCTTCTTCCTAACCAGATTATGCTTTGTCAAATCATCGACTTCAACCCCAAGTATCATCGGCTTTGAAAAGGTACTCCCAAAGCTTCTTTGTGTTATGAACCATAATGAGCCACCATTAGCAAACAAATCCAGCCAAGTCCACTTCACAAATACCGTTGGACAAATATGTCGCCCTTTTTTACGGGAATGAGTTTTCACGTCCACTTCCACAATGTTTTCACCAAGTATTTCATATTCCCTTCAGACGCAAACTGTGATCCATCATCTGCAAATGCGTCGAATATGCATAGCATGATACCAGGGCACCCAAAATTACATTACAAGAAATAAAAAAAAGGAATGTTTTTTACGAGCTTCAGTAATTAATGTTCAGTGGCTTGTAATTAAATATTTAATTATTCTATCAGTAAGCTTCAATCCTTGCATGAAAGAATAAAATATTAGGCCCTAAATACATGCACAGTTTGTTTTAGATGCGAAGCAGCTTTTTGACTAGCCTGTGTAACCCTGTTCATCCGTGTCTCTGTGCCAACACGCCGCACGGCGCTCCCTTCGCCCCAGTTGCTGAACGATGCAAAGTAAGTCAAGTCGCGGATGCGTGTTGACATCACTCTCTCCCTCAACCACAGCAACTCCTGGCTCCTTTGGCAGCTCGCAACATACTTCTCCCTCACTTCACGCTCTCCTCCGCCCGCAATGCCCTACTGCAAGTCGAGTGGAAACACTAGACAGATTTAGTTGCAAATCTGCAGCAGCCATATGAACGCAGCCTACCACTGAAAATGGCTAGCAGGCTGCGTCCGTCCGCACCACTGCTGCAGAAGCGCGACTAAATCTATCTGCTCTTTCGACTCATTTATCTGCGATGAAACTTACATGAAACCCAACCTGCCTCTTGTGTCTTTGGGTTTCGAACAAACGTTTACTCGACAAAACGCTACACCGAGTTTTGCTTCAAACCATTCTTCCAGCACCCGTGTCAACACCCATTTCAATGGGGTCAGCGCTGTGCCCACCGCTGCTGCTTCGCATCCCAATGGAGTTCTGTTCGGGAAATGGTTAATATTTTTAAATTGTGATCATGTCAAGTATACAAGAAAATACTCTTGACGTAGGTTCAGCGACGTGACACCTCGAACTATCTTCGGACATGGTAGTGTCTCCACCAAAGTGACCCTTTGCAACAATGCTCATCACAATTAAACGACTGCTAGCTGTCCACTTGGGAAGCCTGCCCGAATGTGCACATAAGTTTCAAGCCATTTGAAGAAACGCGGCGTGTATGACGTGCCTCTGAAATCGATGTGAACAATCATACACACTGCTGCTGTAAGGAATATATTCCCTTGCTGGCTCATGATAACCGCCTCACCTCGCAAGCTTGTGCGGGCACCGACCAGCAGGTCTAGCAACGTCGTTGCCGCCGTGGTGTCGCTAGCGCTCAGCATCTCAGGCACGCAATGGTCACTAAACACACTTGATGTTGGAGCAATAATGACCCCCAAAGATGTGTGTGTCAATCACTGGGAGAAGGGTCCATGTGTCGTCCACTTTTCTGTTGCATTCACGTGCTTCACATGATATGTTGGGAAAGCATAGGTAATGATGACTTCTGTCTTCAAACAGCACCCGTTCCTATGTTGAGCAGTAACTCCGTCGATGGCACAACCAATAGACATGAAAAATTAACTGATACAACGTGGAAACACAGTTAAAAAAAAATTGATGAAGGCGAAAATGCTTGAGGCCCATATGCTTAGATTTTGGTGCACATTAAGAAACCCCAGGCGGTCAAAATTCTCAGAGCCCTTCACTACGGCACCTTTCATAATTAAAAGGTCGTTTTGGGATGTTATGACCAAGTAATAATTATTATTAAAGTGAGAAAAAGATGATCAGAATCAAATGAGATTTGAATCCGGACCCTCTGCGTGGCTGTTCAGTACTCTACCACAGAGCCACAATGGAGCTTGAAACTAATTTGCAAAATATCCCCGCATTTCCGTGAAGTGAGTGATGATGAGTGGGCAAAGCAGTGGGATCATTCAATGTTACTGTAAATAAATTGTGACATTGCCCACTCAAGCATGTAAATAAGCGACAAAGCAGTGTAAAAATACAATGTTTGGGACAGGCTAGTGCCAATGCTAGAGCGACTGCGAGTGGGACTCGGAGTTGCTTGAGTGCTGGACAAGCTCAACTGTTATAAACAATGTTTATTGGTCATAAATTGTAAGTCATCAGGAGGTTTACCAATTTGATTTTTCAAAATTTTCCGACTTTTTCAGGATTTCCATGACGATTCAAAGTAAAATCCATGACTGTGATGTCTGCACATGTGCAGTAAATATGAAAAAATATGTATATCTGGTCAAAGCGATACCTCCGAGCCAGAGAGTCAGCAAGTTGGCTGTAGGCAGAATCCAAATACGAGTTAAAATTAAATGCAGCTGAAAGCTTGAAGGAGCCCACAATAGTCCTACAACGCAGCCGAAGCTGCTAGGAAATGTACAAGTGGCACCATCTCATGGCATCTGTGTTAAAGGGCCACTCACCAGGTTTGACAATTTTGAGCTGACAAGCGCAATGCGTAGATAAGGCGTTCATGATCACGTCTACCGAAATTTGCAACGCTATGCGCCACGGAAATGAGTCAAATTTTAAGATGGACGCTGCTCCTCCTTTCTTTCTTGAGCGCACGCCCAGAGAATGAGGGCATGACATGCGCGTATGAATGGCCCTACATACACGGCAATGCAGTGATGTTGGTCCTCTACGTAGAAGATTATGCTCCGACGTTGCAAACAGTGACCTGGGACATGGGAAAAATTATTTAACACAACATGCGTAGTTAATAATTTGTTGCTTGAAGAGATGACTAAAGCTCTAGATAAATAATGAGACGCAATAAGGAAATGTGAGCGTCTTTTTCCCCCATGAATTTTTTCCCCCATGAATTACAACGAGATGCGGGGCTCATGTGCCGGCGTTTCGAATGCGTTCGTGTCCCCGTGGACGCGGTCAGTGCATTGAGCAGACGACAGCCGTGGAACGCTCCTACGCATTCGCGCACTCATTGTGCTCATCTATTCTACCACGTCTAAGCCAGCGTTTCCAAACCATCCCGTGAAAGCAGGCAGTAAACCTCAAAACATCGCTGGTAAGAAAAAACGCCACTCGCGTGCTGGAGGGTTGGGCTTGTTAGGGCACGTCATGCATACGTGACCTCTTGGTCGGATGCCGGAGAGGGTAGGAAAGAGATTTGGCTTGCGAAGGCTACGCGGAGGAGCGGCAAGGGTTTCGAGTTCGCATCCTCTCATCCTCGTTTCGCGCCGCTTCTAAAAAACTTTTCTCGGCTCGTAATGAATTGATTCAAAACATTTTTGTGGCAAAATTTTCCTTATCAGATACCCAACAACTTTCACGGTTTAACTAAAATTTGGTATGGGGCCTGGTGATTGGGCCCTTTAAAGGAAGACGCCTGAGCTCGGCCGGTTACGCCACTGAAGTACATTCTAGTTCACTGTAATGGTTAAAGTACGATGACTGGAAGGGGCAGTTTGACGAATGCCATATGCGAGCCATGGGAGAGAAGCGCGCAAAACTGAAATGACATTTCTTACTCCACTAGGAGCGCAGCCGTCGTCGGGAGCTTACAGGATCCTCACTGCTACAGCCAGCCCCGTGTATTTGACACAGTGCGCAAGCTGCCACACGAGTAAGTTTTGTGGGACTCTGGATGTGCAACTATGTGTGAATCTGGGATGCACACGATGTAAATCATCCCGAGTAGCGGCGCACTTTTGCCATGCCAGCAAAAGCAGGTACGTGTTTTGTGCCAGGATGCAAAAGTGGGTACAAGTCATGTCCGGAAAGGGTGTCGCGATTTCGAGCTGCCAAGAAACCACTTCGACACAAAATTTGGGCCCGTATTAAAAAATGGGGTGACAAGGAACTAACCAACGACTACGTTGTTCGTGACTGGCACTTCGAGGCAATGTTTATACAGAGACCTTATGGTCATGTCATCAATGAAGAGGCAGTTGAAATTCCATGCGATCAGCCACTGCTAACAGAGGACGCTGTTTCTACAATCTTCTCGGATGTGCCAAAATACTTAACAAAAGAAGAA